AGAATCTTTTACGATACCTCAGGTGGTACGCCATGACAGGGTCTGAGGTTCGAGCCCCCACTCGGAGCACAGCTCTTCTCTTCGACCGTCTTGGCTGCGTTTCATTGATGAATCTGAAACAGTTGAAGAAAGTCGTTGATGAGTTGATGATGTCATCCAGAATGAAGGTTTTTGGGATTTGGAAGGAAAGAGGATGAGGTCAGGGAAAGGTCAGGACCCTGTCGAACACAAGACGTAGGAACGTGGGAGAAGAGGAGACACTTTTAGAATCTTGGTGTTAAACTTCACGGAACAATACAGTATTGTTGTCAGAGACATCACTGTTGACAACCACTGGACCTCAAAGTGATTTTTAAAATTATTTTTTTCCTTCAGTGATCGTCGTGAATGTATCGGAGAAGTAGGGAAACTGTTTTGAATTGCTGGTGATTTTTAGGAAGTGCATTATTGTTTTTGAGAAATGAAACCAAACAAAGCAGCGGAGGATGTTCTCTCCCACCGCTTCCCTGGGAACCACTTCATAAACAAAGGCTCAGAAAACTCTCTGAAAGGCCAGCAGTGGAGGTGTTGGCTTTAAGGTGCGCTGCTCGACACCAACTGTTGGTGGAGTTTACAGAGTCATGTGACTGTTGTTGTGTTTTAAATAAACACGGAGACAGACGGCGCTGAAGCTTGGACCTCGGCCAATCAGTGAAAAGGATCTGAAGATTTTCCCAAACTGATTGGTTTTTGCAGCTTTGTCATGACTTTCCTTTTTCTTTTTAATCACTTGTTTATTTTGGACAACGTCAGTTTTCCTGCATTTCTGAGCATGAAAATATTCCTCAAAGTTATTATTGTATTTGAAGAGAAATTGAATTTATTTCAGACCTTACTTTGAATCATTTGATGATTTCTTTTTAGCAGCAGTTGTCAGTGTGAAAATAACAAACATGTTAAATTATATATTTTAATATATAAGTGGCAAATCCAGACAAAGGATGAAAAAAAGTGGGACTTATGGTCCGGAAAATAGAAACTGTAACGATGACCAATATTTGTTTGACAAATATTTGCACGTTCTTTCGTTGGACCTTTTTGTGTGTCAACTTGGTCTACATCAGGGATGTGACCCACTAATGGCACTGGTGGACCGCTCCGAGGGTCCGACCACTAGGGTCCGTCTGTCTTCGTCTTGTCGACGGTCCCTAACACCTGCGCAGTTAAAAACACACACACGCAAACACGCATTAACACACGAGTGCATGTGCTGCTGCCACCGCACACCTGCGCACTTGAACACGCACACGTACAACGCGGCTGTCGGCCACCGGGGGTCAGGTTGCAGAGTATCGTGCACCCCGGGCCCAGGTGCTGTACTGTAACGGGCGACGACCCCCGGCCGGCCCTGCGGCACGACACGGACGTAAACACGGGCCGCGCATTCTGACGCGTTTCACTCTCTCCTGTGAATGCATTTCCACACGACCCGATGACAAGTGACCCCCCTCCCCCCCCCGCTGTCGGGGCCTCGCAACTGCACAAGCAACGCAGATGTCAGAGGTCGGATATTCCAGTGAGAATAGTGGCCAGCAACAACACCACAGCCCACAGCTTTGGCCACGTGTTCAGGCGTCCTAACTCAGACTCAGCCTCCGTCCGACAACGGCTGTTTTTGTACACACATGCCTTCGCTCTATTATTTTTTTTTCCTGACGGTGTTTGCTCCTCATCCCCCAGGATCCCAGTCCAGAGTGGTTGCCTCTCTGTTCACTCAGGTCCCAGGGGCCACAGTATGAAGACGACATTAAGCCACGCAGATCACCTTTCACCCCCCGTCTCTGCTCCCTTCCACAGCGCTGCAGGGTCGGGGAGACTTTACAGCGTGGAAACCCAATCGCCGCGCTGTTGTTTTGGGGACAATGGCTGCTGGTTAGGTATGAGGCAAAAAGCCCGTGATATCTCACGTATCTGCCCCACGGTGGCTGTTGCGCGGCTCACAAAACAGCCCGGAACATGTCGAACATCAGCAGCACTTGCCAACATTATAAATCTTTGAAAGAGTGGATACACAGCAAACATTAAGACGGGGTTTCAAGTTTAACTTGTTTGAAACCGAAAAACCTGAAACGGTCGCAGGTCGGACGACGATGTTGTGGAAATGTTTC